TGTTTGAATATTGAACAAGCCTTCCACGCTTACTGAAATTGATGGAAATTCAACAGCAGATTATCCCGAAGCCCGCTGCCTGGACCAAAGGGAAGAAGAGTTGGTTTAAGGGAAAATTTGGAAAACAAGCTTCAGGATCATGAAGGGATGAATGATGCACTATTCGTACGAAAGATAATTCGCGGAGCTTCATTAGTCTGTCTTGTTCATCACATTGAGCTGTCTAATGAATTAGCATATGGGATTAGGAATAAGATTGTGTGCTATCGAAATTTATTATCATTTATGCCTGGAGATTTTTTTCATCTTTCGGACCGACTTGTCCCGTGCCGTCCGTAGCCATCTATTCAACCTTTAGTACAAAACTTTTTTTTATTTAGCTTTGATGTTCAAACGCATCTCACGAAAGCGGATACGCCGCGAGGAGGAAGAAGCTCTAGGACTCGATGAGGAAGTGAAAGAGGCCTTGGGATTGACTGGCGTGGATTCCGATTCGGATGAATCCGAGCAGTCCGACAGCGATTCTAATGAAGACGATGGGGTGCATTCTGGCTCGGGTGGAGAGAGCGCTGAAGAGGATGGAGAAGAAGAAGAACTTTTGGTAGGGGTAGACGCTGATATAGAAGATACAGGGGATGAGGATGAGGATGAGGAAACAACTCCAATCATATCGAAACGTGCTTTAAAAAAGGTCAGTAATTCGCTTAGTGCAGGTTCGCTCGTTTAAAACCCTCTTCGAGTTTTTTCGCTCTCAATTTCATCATCTAATCAATGTGAAGTATTGGCTCACCGTTGAACCTTTGTCTTCTTTTTTTTTTTCAGCAAACCCGCCAACAACAAATCCAAAGACTCCGTGAACGAAAGGCGAAATGGAAGAAGACAAAGTCAGAGGTTGCCTTGACCTCCACACGAAAGCATGAACATTCTATTATATCTGTGAGCTCAGAGCTCTCGGAGCTTCCTCCTACTCCTCCAACACCCGTTCAAGTCTCGAAAATATCGACCGATCTTTCAATTCCTGGTAAACCATCAAAGCCTTCAACGCTTACCCCACTTTCCGCTCGCGGCGCCGACAATTCTATAGCTACTATCCTTGTGGGTGCACTAGAAAGTGCCTATAAACCACACTTCAGGTCCCAACTGGAACCCATAGATGCTGCTACTACTATCACTTCATCCTCATCCAAAGGAGCTCATACGATTGCTAAAAAAAGACAGGCGCAGATGAAGCAGGACCCGATGGAGGTGAAAATGAGGAAAAAGAAAGGGCAAAAACCCGGATCTAATAAGGACATCGAGGGTATTAACAGAGAAAATGCAAACAAGGAACAAATGGTTAAGAAAGACATGAAGTCGAAGTCGGTTCTCAAGGAATCTAGTAAAAAGGGCGGGAAAGCTCAAGATCATCCGCCACTATCGGAATCTGCATTGGACTCAGGTCCTCCGAGAAAGAAGAAGCGGCGAAAGGTGATAACGGAAGAGACGTAGGGATATGAGGGTTGAGCCAGAGCTACCTAGTCTCCCGTAGGTAGACTTGATGGGAGACAAGCTCGCTTAATTAGGAGCATTCAAATCGCGCGAATTTGCTGAATTCGGACCTCCACGTCGATATTATTGCCATGCTTTCATGACTACGTAGAAAGATCAATATTTGATTCTTCAGAAAACCGCGGAACGCCACGAAGAACAGGCCAAGGATGAGAAAGATACGATGGTTTGGAGGCTGTAGATGGAATACTAATGAATACCGTCATTCCCAAGCGTTATGCCCGGAGCCAACTTTACGATTGGCGCTGCGCCAGAAAATAAGAATACCTGGTTTGGTGGGCGCCTTGCCAGCGAGAGATGGTGATGCAGGGATTTTCATTGAAAGTAAATCTCATCTCATCCTTCCTTATGCGTTTTAGGTCGAAGGAGGAACCCTCAGGCTAAACACTTCTCGAGAGCCTCAGCCTCAACTGGAATCAACACCAGGAAGAGCAAACACTTGCGAAAGCACGAGATCTCGTTTCATTCGTCACTTCTACCTACACTAAAGAACTACTCTACTCTAAAGGTGAAGCATCTTGAAAGCTACTAGGGTTAAAATTTTTACTGCAGGAACGGAAAACACCAAGATCAGATTCATGAACTCGAAAGACAGCAGATTGCTTACCCGCTTGCTGTAAATCTTCGAATTATCGTGCTTGAAAATTTCGCCTTTCGAACCACCGAATGCATGGCCAGTACAGATCGTCTCACAAATCGTTTCCTCGAAGGTGAAGGTGACGTGGCGCGTATCCTCTGAGCGACTGGTGTGATAGTCGTTCAAGAAGACGACGTCCAAAGTTTTTCCCTCGAGGCTCAACTCCTTGGCAGCAGCGTTAAGTAAAGACTGAACGGCTTCCTTTGCCTCGGATTGAGCTTTGGCGCGGTTAGGATTATTTGAATCCGAGGAGAGATCGTTAGTGAACGTGACACTGATCGTCACTTTGTTGGGGGCCCGTTTGGAGATGCTGGAGAGGGCGGCCACCAAGGCTTCACGGGACTCGAGGTCGGCAGAGGAGAGACCGAACGTCTCTCGAGCGTCGATCTCTTCTCCTCGAGCGTTGAAGATTTGGGTACCACGAGCGTGGTATATATTGACCGCCGTAGCTCCTCCCAGCTGTCGGAGGTCAAATTCATGGTCGGCGAAAGGGGCACGAGCCTCGACGGCTCCGTTGTTGCTTTCCACCTAGAAATTAGGAGAGGTAAGTTCTTCTTTCGATAGTAATTATTCCAGAGCCAAGTAAATCTTACAGCGATTGGGACTGCGGAGGCGGCAGTGAAGAGTCCGAGGACGAAGCAAGCAATATTGAAACGCATGGCGACTGACGGGTTAAGTCAAGTTATAAAGTTTTGAGTAAGAGTGGTGGGTAAGCTCGTGAACGCGAGCTGTGAAGTGTGATGAAGAAGTTTAGTTGACGAGTGAAGACGAGGACGATTTCTTTGACCGGCAAAGAAAGGTTGTAAGTGCTGAGAGACTTGCCAGAAGCTGAAGATCCTCCCTCAAACTTCGCTGCCTTTTATACTTACCAGTCGCCACATTAGGAGCTTACGAACAATTCTGATCAAGCCGAAGCGTCCATTCATTTCTCTTCTGGATGCTGTCGACTCGGAGTAACAGAAGCCTTGCCTTGATTCAATGGGTGAAACAATCTGCTCCCGCATTTGTAATGCAATCCTCGATGCACAGAAACTCTACACGTTCAAATGTCACAGTAGGTTCAAAATTCTTGCGCACGACCAGTTGCTCCTGGGCCTTCTTGGCTTTCTTGAAACTTGGAAGTTTTCCGACTTGTGCTTTTGTCTTCCATAGACTCTCTGATGACGAGAATGACCGAGCATTAGACTGCGACCGCGTGAAAATTCTACTAAAATGCATCTGTCAGTGAAGCCATAGGATTGAGGAACACCGAACCGTCACGAAAACCCCGGAACTCGGGACTGGAATGATAGATCAAGTCTGCAATTGTACAAATCTGCACTTATTCTTTTGATTTTGATTTCATCATGATTTACTGGTTCGGTTGTCTACACAGCCTATCCTTCCCGAGTCCTACTCCGCTTCTGTAACCAAAAAATCTCCTAGTCAACGCCGACTTACGGGACGGTAAAGGTAAGAGCAAAAGGGAAAATATATATTTCGCGCCCATCTCGATAACCCTCGTGGTTGGCTTCTGAAACCACTCTCTACCGTTCGCTAGACACGACCATTTGTTATTAGAATCCTATCCTTAAAGTTGACATCGTTCTTTTCCCACAAAACTCCGATTCCTATGATACAAGTTTATACAATCTTACACGCTGCTGGCATCGAGGCGTGCACCACGTTGACCTGCACTGTTCTGTTTATCCTCCACACGGCCAGCCCGAAAATGTCCAGTTGCAAAGTGGGACCATAGGACTGGCGTTTATAAGTATCGTATGAAGATTTGCGTCCTTTTGTAAACAATCAAACGGCTGCAGAGCCGAGCACCTGAATCAGAAAAGCGCAGGCGGCCTGCGAGCGCGCAGAGCGTACACGACTGATTAGGGCATCACCGATAGAAAGAGGACCCGGTGAATTAGGGAGAAGGCTAGTCCTTTCGGTCGCTAATCAGGCTTTTTGTAAACAGACAGTTTAAACGCCAGCATTTTCGACTTGTGCGCCGAGTTCGAGTTACTATAATCTCATCATGATGGGCAGTTCGTAGCTAAGTTTCAAGTAACAATGATCTCGTTAAAATGAGAAGAAATTCACAGTCAATGGAGGGTACGATTAAAGACACAGTAATGAGCTTTCACCGAAATTTTTGTGATAAAGACATTAGTACTTATTCTTTGAACTTGAGTGATGCATGAGGGCGATAGCCAGAGATACTGGCTGGATGAGAGGTGCTACAATTGGATAGTGTACGTGTTGTCTACATATGTATCTTTTCGTGACAATGTTACAGTGTGATTGGGTAGGAGGGCAGTATGCCCTCGGGTCCCAACTGAGTGTCTCTCTGAGAACGCGGTCAGCTGCGATAGGGTGGGAGGGCCCTATCGCTGTCTGATTCACCCAGTTCGGACTGCGGTTGTTGATTAGCTAGTCGAACATTCAATATGTGGCGCCAGTACGGACTGTGTCTATCTTATCATATATTGGTTACTCTGGACAGCGAGTTTGATTGCTGCAAAGGGGGCGGGTGGGTGTGGACAAAAGATTGAGCTGTCCTAAGAGTGAGTCTTAGGCGTTGGTGATGCGGTGTTGGAAGAGAACGATAACACCGCATCACATGTGCAGTTCGAAGACTATGGTTTGCCGACTACGTCATCAAACCGGCAATATTTGCAAAGACGCAGGAAGGTTGAAGCATTGGGTCGAAAACTGTCTAATGCCTGTTACTGGGTTCTTCTTATACGCGATGGTAAGAGTAAATAAGGGCCTCCGAACCCAAACAGACAGTAAAAATTTTCGAATTAGCTTTTGAACGAGGAGGAACCAAAAAGCAAATAGCCCACCGCGAGGGTCGAACTCGCAGCCTTCAGATCAAATTGATCTATAAGAGTCTGACGCTCTATCCGATTGAGCTAGGCGGGCAGACAGAGAGGTTGGCTTATAGTAACACTTCAGGATGTGAGAGTCAGGACCAAATAACACCTTTCACCGTAACACAAACTTTATTACCTTTCAAAATGTCTGTCGGTACTCTATACACCTCTCCCGGAGATAAAACAGGCAAACTCGTAAGCTTTCTTTCATTCATCCACCAATCGGTTCTTAGAAGAGGCCAATGCAGATCAAGGCAATAGCTGCCTTTGGTGGTGTTTCCGTCGATGTGGATGCTAATTACAAGCATATGGAAACCAATAAAACCCCCGAATTCTTGGCCAAGTTCCCCCATGGAAAGATTCCAGCTTTCGAAGGGAAGGGAGGCTTCAGGCTTTTCGAGGCTGTGGTTATTGCCAAGTATAGTGAGTCAATGCCTGTGTTATTCAATCGGGAAGTATCGTCAAGTCTACTTCGTGTGATGAGTTTCTCATCTTGATTTACTGTTATCTCTGTCCTAATATTCTTCTCGATCCCCCTTTTATATCTGATATCTGAATTTTTTGTGTGGACGTTCGAATGCTAATCATCTCCTTTGGCTTTTCTCAGTTGCTTCTTTGGCTCCTAACTCTGGTCTACTGGGTACAAGCGCGACGGATGCTGCCCTCATTGATCAATGGACTCATTTCATTGAACTTGAATTTGATCTACAAACAACCATGATCACTCCATTGGTCAACGGAAGAATTCCTTACATCAAACCCGTGCGTCTTATCTATCTTGAATATCTTGTTATGAAGTAAAATATCTCAAAGCTTCACAATATTCTACTTGAACGCCAAGAACGAACTCTCACTACTCTCAACAAACATTTAACAGAAAACACATACCTCGTTGGAGAGCGTATCACGCTTGCTGATCTCGCATTCGCTGTTTACATACAGCGTGGTGTCTCGATTTCTTTCGATGCTCCCCTTCGTGCTAAATTCCCAGCTGTCGTCCGTCTTCTTGAGACCATTGTCAATCAACCACAACTGAAAGACATATATGGAGAGACAACATACATCGAGAAAAGTCTCCAGTTTACTCCTCCGGTTAAAGAGAAGAAGGAGAAAGAACCCAAGCCTGCACCTGCACCCAAAGAGAAGAAGCCCAAGGCAAAGGAAGTCGAGGAAGACGATGATGAGCCTCTTGTTCCTGCCGAACCCAAGGTGAAAAACCCTCTCGATGATCTTCCGAAATCATCTCTCAACCTCGAGGACTGGAAACGTGCGTATTCTAACAAAGACACGCGCGGAAAGGACGGCGCTCTTGAATGGTTTTACGAACAGTACGTAGCGCAGAATTATTCATTCTTTTGAATTTCCTGTCATTCCTAATATTCTTTCCGCAGCTTCGACAAGGAGGGATACTCTCTCTGGAGGGTAGACTTCAAGTACAACAACGAGCTCACCCAAATCTTCATGTCTTCTAACCAGATCGGTGGTTTCTTCAACCGTCTTGAGGCTTCTCGCAAGTACCTCTTCGGTTCCATGGGTGTCCTTGGTCAGGCCAACGATTCTGTGATCTCTGGTGCTCTCATTGCTCGGGGTCAGGATATTGCCCCTGTCATCAACGTTGCTCCCGACTGGGAGTCCTACTCTTATGCTAAAATTGACATTTCCGATCCTGCTCAGAAAGAATTCTTTGAGGGTGCGCTCGCTTGGGATTTGAAGATTGACGGCAAGGAATGGGTAGATGGAAAGAACGTTAGTCTTCCTATCATTCTCCCTATTGTTTCTGTCACTCATCGAGTCCGCAATAGTTCAAGTAAATGTATTGACTACCTACATAAGTTGCTGTACTTTATTGTGGATTTTTATCATTTTTGCCTTGTAGTAGCAGGTGCCAAATCGTAAGCAACTGTTGAAGCCACGGAAACTCATTCGTCCCTTCCGTTATAGTTTGAGTCAATTTTTTTCAGCTTCAGTGATGCGGTTATCTGGTAGTTTCATTTCTTCTGCTGGAGTTCGTCGATATATATACGCCATTCAACCGAAGCAATCTCGCGCATCCAGAGCTTGACTGTTCTCTCTTTTTTTGAATCCTTGTTTATTGCCCCCTGTCCCTAAGGATATGGTAGGCATTACACAATGACATCTGTAGGTAGATACAGGAACTAGAGCTAGCATATGGCATAAGAGCATAGACACACAACAAAGTGGAACCCATCTGGATGGGGCTCACAGCAAAGAAATTGCTAGTAAGAAACACTTGGCTGTAACACCAAAGTGAAGAAGGTGTCAATCACAAACCTCTCAGTCCCCCTTCCATCTCCTTCCCAAATCCCCTCCCTTCTCCAAAGCTCCAACCTCAACTCACTCCCAGCCCAATGCCACAGAGTGAGTTGTCAGGCACATGCCACCACAGTGCAGTGATCAAGCTGCTACTGGAAGCCATACAACTCATTTTGTCGGGTGGCAAGGCCGGGCGGCAGCCAGGGGTGGACAAAGTCCCTGCGGAAGGCCTGAGCTTCTGACCAGTGTGAGCGTGTGAATATGCTGGGTGGAAAACATGTGGCGGTTCCCGACACAACTGCCATGAGGCATGAACAAAGGAATGGTGTCAAGGTCGAAGCAGGATGAGGACGAAGAAATGGCTCAAAAGAAGACAGATTGAGTAGATTGGTGTGATCAGTGGTGGTAGAAGCCTGCCAATGGCCCAAGATGGTGTCCAGTGGGACAAGAAGGTCCAGACAATGAAGTAATCCCACCATTCCTCCAGTCCAGCACCCTCTGGGGAGGTAGTGTTGAGACTAATCAGCTGTCCTGCTCAAAGATGAAGAATAGTCCTCTGTGCGTGTAGCAGGGTGCAGCACTGCAGTGATCTTGATGATCAAGTGGCCCCCAAGAGCGAAAAAAGCCCTCACAAAAGCGTGGGAAATTTATGAGATGGTGGTGGTACGAGATCAAGAAGCCTCCCGACTGTTCTCTTCATCTTCTGACTTCTTACAGTAACTAGTGCAACTTCCGGCACGAGGTTCCATTCGCCAGTACCAACGACGACGTACAAAACTCAATGTAGCAGTTATTGACATAAAGAGACCCGACCCTCTAGAATTACCTCAGTCTCCTCTCGACACTCTCACACATCGCCAGAACCTCCCCGATCCCAGGTCTCTCCCCAGGATCCACTTTCAACATCTTATCAATCATCTCCTTCAACCCATTCGAGTACCTTCCTTCGCTACCCCGTGGGTGCTTGTACTGCGCGTTAAGTACAGCCATGGCGATTGACCCACCTTGTTCGGTTGTCTGCGTGTTTTCGAACGGAGAGTGGGAGTAAGCCATGGCGAAGAGGAGGCAGCCGAGGGACTGAATTTGGGAATATTAACGTTGAATTGGAAAGGTAATGAGACTTTAGAATCAAGACAGCGTACCCATATATCAACCTTTTCATCTAACATTGTCCCAGTCTTCACGTCAAAAAGTTCTGGGGCACGGTACGCCATTGTTGATTGTTCTGCGGCAATGTCCTAAGTAAAACGGATAGGATGATGTAATTTGAGTATAGTGTGACCAACTGAGAGATTGAATGTCCATCAAGAAGTACTTAGGAAATAATAAGGAGGAAAGGGAACAAAAGAATAACAAAACGAAAGACTAACTTGCTGATATAGCGCCATCGAACGGTTCTCTATTTTTATCCTAGCTCTCATCGCAGACCCGAAATCCATGAGAATAGGTCGGCCGTCGTCTGATATCATGACGTTCCTGTGAGACGATACAATTTGAGCAATTACAGCAAGAGAGAATGGTAGCAAACACAGATCATAGCAAGAGAATTAAGAAAGAAGAAGGGGGAACAGTGACAAGGAACAGAACGAATGAAGATGAACAAAAATACTACTCACCCAGGTTTAATATCCCTATGCGCATACGAGACAATCTCGCCTTGTTCTCCCATCCTGCCTTCACCGTCTATACCAGCAACATCCTCATCTCCATCAAACAGCACTTCTCCTCCACTATTGTCTGTACTCCCTCCCATTAACCCTTCTTCCTCATCTCGGTTAATTAACGGCACGGAACCAGAGGTAATTCGTGAGGGCTTGGATCTAGACGAAGATGCCGATGGACCGTAGGAATACCCTCCCTCAGCGTCACCTTCTGGCTCAGGGAAGCGCTGATCGTCGTCTTCGTCGTCGTCATTAGCTCCTCTAGTACTTGCGTTCGGCTGGGATCTAGACCCATTCGGTTTTCCTTGTGAATTTGACCCGTCAGCACCGTTCACTCCTCTACTCCGGTTGGTTTCCCTGCTCTTCTTCGCGCCCTTCGCGGGTCTCCATTCATGCATCGCCCTCACAGCCTCACACGTCCCTTTGAACAGCTTGATCATTTCAAGCTCGGAAAAATGTGAATGATTGATGAGGTGAGCGTTGATGAGGTCTTGCACGTTGCCTCGCTGTAGATAGTAAGACATCAACCACAATGATAAGGATAAGCTAAGGAAGAATAAAAGCTACCTGATATAGAGGTAAGAATAAATAAACCACCTTTCCTTCTCCATCATCATCCTGCACAACCGCTGAGTCGAGGATACGTATGATGTTTGGGTGCCGGAATCTTCTGTAGGCCTCGACCTCGCGCATAGCTTCTTTCACACCGTCGTTGCCTGTTGGACAGCGAATCTTTTTGAGAGCGAATTGGCGCTGAAAAGTCGCGTAAATAACAGTTTGTAGAGTATTACCGCTACGACACTAATTGCATCAGTCAATCTAAATACTCACTCCACTTCCTTCATCTTGTGCCAGATAGACGAAAGAGAAGCCTCCTTCGCCAAGGACTTTAATTATTTTAACTGTGTAGGCAATTTGGTACCATGGGTATATAGGCGTTGAAGATATTGAGAGACAAGAATTAGTCAGTATTCTTCCACTTCAGAGAGATCATTAAACTCACAGGTCCTTCCATTGATCTTAACCCGCGCCTCCTGCTGACACATAACACAACTCGACCAGCCGGCTGAGAGAGCCCAGAGTGCATCTTTGGCTTGGTCCTTCAGCGTCGTTAGTGTTGAAGAGAGATGATCCATTCGGACGTTTGGTGTTTGGTTTATATTATTCCTCGATTGATATCCTTCTTTCCGTGGCCGTTCGCTGCAGGCCAAAATGTGTAGCGTATAGCAGCGTGTGAGTGAAAGAGTTTTGGCGGTGCTGCGGCGTGTTAACGAGAAGTTTTGAAGAGAAGCGCTGGCCTCCCAAATAATAAGCGCCCAATGATTTGTCCTATGACCCCTCCTTCTTCTCAGTCAATAAGCTCGACCGCCCAACTCGAACCATTTTCGCCGTTCATATATAAAGGATGAGTTTTACGCGGGGACAATTTCGCCTAGAATGTGGATCCATACTATGGAGATAATTCTAGTGCTCACGAGCTGCTTGATTCATTCTCCGACCGATTGCTATGACTGGCACACCGTAGCTGAAAATATGCAAGTGACTCTCGACAACCGCATCTCGTTGTACCCCTCGACAGGCTGCAAATACGAGTTGAAGTTTTGTTGGGGGGTCCTGCTTTTTGGAAACCCTAGAGTCAAGATCATGCTGCTCTTGTCTGTAGGCTGTTGTGCAAATCTTCAATGGCTGAACACGCACAGTTGAAAACCTTCAGAAACCATTGTAGCCTAAAGTGGGCCAAAAGAGCTCTCTAATCTCAATCTCGCTACCGGTCAAGGTGTAAAAGGCAATGAATGGTCCGAGCACTTGCATCAATATTGACTGTTATCCCTTCACCGATGGACGGTGACCGTACTTATTAGTTCCATTCAATTTCATCCTACGATACATTTCCTTTCTTCTATGATTCGAGAATATCACATTACCATCTTCGTGGGCCTTGCCTTCCTCCCGCAGATCATTCGCGTCGTACAAGTATTACTAGTTATAATAACCCGAACTTTTAAAAATTCTGGTTTTTATGATCAAGTATGAGTTCGCCGGGAAGATGTTTGACGATTCGAAAGGCTTCATCACTCTTTTAAATCTGTAGAACCTGTTCCCTTTAGAGTCATTCCTAATAGAGAAACAGAGCATAGTTGAGTTTTGCTGGAAGCTTCGGTTTGTCTGCCACTGATACATGTAAAAGCTTTGAATCGGTTAACCGATGGGCGCTTAATTAATTTGTAGTTTCTTCGAGTCATCGTCTTTTGGCCAACGCGATAACTGACCATTGCCAAGCAACACAACTGCAACAACACGAAAAGCAAGAAAGATATGCCCTTCCGTCACCTCGCATACTCGCTTTATGCATGTAACAGCAACATGTTCAACATGCGTGGCTCAGCCGGACTCTCTACAGGAGCTGGCGTGGTCAGGCATTGTTCCAGCTCTAACAGCGACAGCACGAACAAGGCAGAAAATGAGACTCCAATTGCTCTACCCCCGACAAAAAAGTTAGCGATAGGTAGGTCTTGCTTTCTCTTCGATTTTTTGCTAGTCCTTTTAGTTTTCTCGGGGTTTAATTGAAGCCTCTTATCTTTTGTTTCCTGTTTATTCATTTGTCGGCGACTGACTTTGCTCTAATCGGCAGTGACTTGTATGGACGCACGAATCAAGTGAGTTCTTTGTATGATATTCGAACCCTACTCACCAATCATCTACCCTACCCCTCTTTGTTACATCACAATGATGATGACTGAAAGCCCTTTCACCCAACTAGGTATCAAACCGGGCGAAGCACATATTATCAGGAATGCCGGTGGAATGGCGTGGGTCTTACTCTCTTCTACTCTTACTCACTGATTCTGACTCTCTTTGCTCCTTCTTCTCAACAGCCGAGACGCTCTCCGCTCCCTGGTCATATCTCAACGTCTGCTCGGGACCCGAGAGATCGCAGTATATCATCATACTGGATGTGGGATGGCTACCTTCTCAAAACCTTACTTGAGGACTCTCATTACCGACGATTTGAGGGACGATGATAAGCAATCGACTGGACGGATGGTGGATGAGATGGACTTTTTGGAATGGCCTGGTGTCTCTTCAAATTCATTATCATCAACAATAACAACGTTGTCCTCAACAAGCGCAACAAAATCGAATCAGTTATCGGGATCAACAAGAGAACTGGAAAGCCCATTGTTAGCTTCGCTCAAATCCGAAGTCAACTTCCTTCGGACTCATCCACTCATCATGCGCGAGACAATAGTAAGCGGGTGGGTGTGGGATGTTGGAAAGGAAGAGGTGAGAGCTGTCATGTCTTCTCTTAAAATGAAAACTCAACTTTCATCGAACAGGCAATTAGGATTATATAGGCCATTAAGCTTCAAGGCTACCTCCTGTTCTACTGGCTGTTCTCTCTACTCTTTCCGAGCCTCCAACTCCGGTGCCTCAGTATTATAATCACCTTCGCTGTGTATGCGTACTAAGGATATTAATGATGCCAAGCACCTCAACCTAAACATACAATTTAGAAAGACAAGGGAGGAGAAAGAGAATTTTCATTTGGACTAGTACATGACAACTAATTGCCACACAACTGAATAAGGTTGTCGACCAAAAAATCCAAAAACAATTCTGTCTAGCCCACCGCGAGGGTCGAACTCGCAGCCTTCAGATTAACCGCCTGGTCATAAAAGTCTGACGCTCTATCCGATTGAGCTAGGCGGGCAGTTAGAAGTCAAGCCACATACAATAACTACGACGGGATCAAGTCTGGTTATAACAGTTCCTACTCTAAATATCTTCCAGAAATTATTACTCCTCCCACCCACCAAGGCCCAGTTCCCTGTCCCGTTTTGCTCTCTTCATTGCCTTCCTCATCTCCTCCCCCATCGCTAACCACTCTCCCATCCCTCCAACCCTCTCAACCAACTCCTCCTCCCACCTCTCCTCCATCTCCTCTCTCTCCTCTCGATCTTTCTTCTCCCATTCTATCTCCTTCCTTGTCTTCTTCCGGGGAGGCGGAGCAGGAGGAAGCAGCGGAGGTGTACGTCTGTTCGGATGAAGAGGAGCGATTTTGGAGAGGAAAGAGCGTGAGGATTTTAGGTAGGGGGAGTATGCTGTTAAGCTACCTCCTCCTCCAGCCTCTTGGCCGCCGCCGCCAGTTCTTCTGCCTCTTTGCACTGGACTTTTAAACTGGGAGTTTGGCATCGAGTTGACTCGACGGATGAGATCTGACATTGGTGTTGACTTGCGTGCGGATTTAGGTGCGATTGTGTAACGGGAGGCTAGAGTAGGGTATTTGAGTTGCTTTTGGTCCGTAGTAGGAGTTGTCAGCTTCGAAGAGCTAGATGCTATATGCGCTTGGGAAATGGGTGTATGGGGTATGGCAGGTGGAGAAGGTGACAAGTTTTCCTGTGGAAGAAGATTGCTTCAATTAGCAAATATTTTCGTTCTATAACGAAGAAAGACTTGCTTTTAAACTTGATTTCGTTCCAGTGTCGTCAGCAGCAGCAGTTTCGTGTTCTACTTCGTCCTCAGAGGCTATACTCCTTGTAGCATTCGATCTCGGCTTCGCTCTTGAGTTTGAATTCGACTTTGCCGTGGTAGTCATCTCGCCCTTGCGCAGACTCAGCTCATCTTCATCTTCATCTTCAGATATCACCACCCTCGCTGCCTTTCCCTTCTTCCCTTTCCCACCCGATTTATGCAGAACTGATTTGCTTGGATTGACGTCTACGTCCATGTCTTTGTTGTTCTTGTCCGGGCCTAAGTGCAAGTCATCTACGTCCACGCCCTTTTGCACATCAATTACTTCATATTCATCAACGCTCCTACGCAGCTTCTTTCTTGAACCTTGTCTCTGCTCCTCGTTCTTCTTATCTTTTTGTCTGTCAACAGCGTCTCGAGCTCGTTTGGTCGAAGGCGAACCACGCTGAGACTCAAGTTCGAAAGGGGGAGAAAAGCTGTTTGAGGTAGTAGCAATCGCGTTCCGAGGCGGAATCGTTATAGTAGACATGAGCAGTTCGTCAATGTCTTCGACGGGTTCTGGACTTTGGGCTGGAGTATTAAGGGCTTGCTTCTCCTTTCCTTTCCCTTTGACCTTTGTAGAAGCTTTACCCTTAGATTTCAACGTTGCTAGTTTCTCCTGGTGATGGAACCAAAGAATAGAGGAATGAGCGTCATTATGTTGCAATATAGGCAGTTGGAGAACAGAGATTAGATTCTAAGGTAGTACTGACCTTGCCCTTCGATTTCGCTTCTTTACCTTTGCCTTTCGGCTCATTTCCAGCCCAATCTTCGGCGTCTACCATAAAGTCGTCGTCATCATCGTTTACTTTCCTCTTTTTCGTTCGTGGTTTCTTCACCTTGGTTTCACCGCCAGGTGGTACAATAAGTGGTGGAGGCATTAAAACTGAGTCCATGACTTGCATCGTCGCGTATGAGTTTCCTGTGTTGATATTGCTGTTCAAATGATGGTCTGGATTATGATCGAACGAGCGCGGAGACGATGAAGGATCTGCGAAAAACGGTGCAGGCGGAGCCGGCATATCCAAGTCTGAGTGCATATGAGCCCTATGAGTTCGCGAGGCAAATGAAATCGAGGCAGAAGTAGCAGAAGAAGGAGGATTAGGTAGAGTTTCGATAGCTGGGATATCATCAAATAATTCAGAAGGAGTCGATTGTGGTGGATCAGAAGGAGGGAGTATCGAGGAAGCTCGGTTTCTTTCGCCACTCCAAGCTAAAGCAGGGGAAGTGGCGACCATGGGTAAAGCAAATGATAGAGAAATGTCTGCATCTGGTTCTTGTACTGGCGAAACAAGTCTGACATGATTGCTTGGTCTAGCGGCCGTAGCAGTAGAAGAAGGGTTTCTTGAGGTCTTCTTTTCCGTCGTGGTCTTCTTGGGTTTATTTGCAGGACGCAAAGATAGTTCATCATCAGAAGATAGTTCTATGATTTCGGGCGAATATGCAGGTACAACGGAGAAACTGCTGGTTTGAATATCACTGTTCCGTTTCCGCATTTTGGCTCGATCAGCAATGCTCAGCGTCATATCGAACATCTCGATATTGCTAGTAGAGGAGGAAGTTTTCTCGGATCTATCTCCTGGGGCTGCTGTACGGACAGTCTTCGGCTTCGGTTTGGGACGAGGTCTTGAAGAGGTAGCGGTGTTAGAGTTGGTGATGGTAGAAGGTGTCGAAGCGGCGCGAGCATTAGGAATAGGCGCAACTGAAGGATTGGAGAAGTTGTAGATGGCATCACCCGCAGTGGCTTTGCTAGCGGAGAATTCGGATATAGCTGACATATCAGCCAAATTAGAAGTTGAGGCAGCAAGAACATTGGAGGTTGTGGATCTCGGATCATCGGGTACTAATAGTCAATATTTGAATTTTGAATTCCTGAAAGTCTAATGGAACACACCAGCACGAGATGGACCGAACAACTCATCTTCACCTTCACTGTCGGCTACGATTTCCTCGTCGTACATTTTCTGCGGAAAGATTTGAATCAACCGGGTGAAGCGCGACCTTGCTTAGTCACGTGCGCACGGATGACTAAACCGATGGTGTTCAAAGGTCGACCAACCGTTATCTTCCGATTTGAGAATCCGTCCGCGTCGTGTAAGTATCCTCAATGTAAATGCCTACCGCCGTGATTGCCCACTGAGATCGGCGCTGGGCCCTGTAAAGCCCCTGATCTTTTTCCAGTTCCTCCCGAGAATTGACCAGAAGGTCAGAGGACAGACTCATTTAGTTACCATTCTATGTTCTCGGATCACTCGAAAATCCAGAACGCAAGGCCTGTAAGTATTACAATAGTACTTACTGCTTGCTGGGCCAATGACGGGCTAGGTTCAACTCCGCCGTGCGCGCTGCTGTTCTCAGCGATTGTGCCCCAGACCTCGTTCCTACTTGAAGGCTCGCCATGCATATTAGGTTTGTATCATTCTTCTCGGATCACTTCAAAAACTGCTTGCTGGTTAAATCATGTCTGCGTCACAACATTGCGCATACTACACTCTTCCTCTGAACCACCCATCTTCGTCTCGCCAGCTCAGCAATGGCAAGTTCAACCAGCCACGCAACTCCAATAGATGATTCAATTCGGACAAGCGACCTTTGTGCGTATCCAGGTCATCTATTTAACACTCTAACGTTGAAGCTAATTATTTGCATGTACAACTACAGTCAACACGCCAGATGCTGACGTTGTCATACGATCCTCCGACAACGTCGATTTTTACCTGCACAAGAAGAATCTCGAATGTGCCACCGGAGGGTTTCCTCCTGCGGAGACGCCCTCGAACCTCAAAGATGTCGTGCATCTCACCGAGACAGCAAACATCTTGGAGATGCTCTTTAGCTGTATATATCCCCGCCCTTTTCCTTCATTGGAGGAACTAGATTTCGATACATTTATGCTGCTCGTGGAAGCAGCAGAAAAGTATCAATTCTTTGGGATAATCTGCGCGTGCAGACTTCATATGAAGTACGTTAATTTACTGATATTTTAGAGTTGAGAAAGTAACGACATGTTCTTGACGTCTACAGAGAAATTTTGTATCCTACAGATCCTGATTTCAGCACCAATTTCACCTTGAAACAGGATTTACACGCCAAAAGGATACGGCTTTTACATTTTGCTATCAGACACGACGTTCGCGATCTCATCGAGGAACTCCGGGTGATTTTGGTGAACGTCCCGTTATCCGATATGGCAGAAATCCTCCCGCCTCATATATATATGCCTTGGGTAAGTCGTACAGTCTGATCACAGAATGAACAACGTCTGACTGATGTGAATACAGAGCCTCTATCGGGAACAGAAACTACTCGAGAGGCTGAAAAGCAACGAAGAATTGTCTGTATCGAAGCCAAAACGGCCTGAAATTCTCAATCTCAAACGAAAGAACCAAGTGATAATGATCAATTTTTGACCATTCTTTGGCAATGTAATCATATTTGCTTACTTACGACTTTATCCTTTCCATCAATCATTCGTACACGAGTACAAAATTCGGTTTCAGGAAACAAAAACATGTAGATGTGTGAAAAGTTGCGATTCATACGTATCGCAAATCGATCTGGAATCCTGCTTCTTCGAAAGAAGAAAGATTGTCATGAATAAATTGATTAATCGATAGGTAAGAGTTTTGGTGGTTCAACACTAAAGTCAGAGCATGCAAACCGTATATCCCGATCGGGTCTCCCGCGGAAGACTTGTGTATCGTGCATCGAGCTGTGACTACCTTGCAGATGGTTGAACATAGTGATGTGACCATCTCATGTGGACGGTATTTACAACCAAGTTCTAGCAAGCGCAGATTGGGTGCAATGTCTTTGAGCATGAGATAGTCCGTGAAAGCCCGTAAAACTGTCGCAGATGAGAAATCAACACTCAGATTGACAAGCGTTGGGTGCAGAGTGACGAAGTTTATCAACGCCTGTTTTAAAGGGCTAGATGTCATTCGCACTCGTAGAGTCTGCAGTTGACACTTTGAATCATCGAGCATTGAAAAGAAAGGCTCATCAATAGATTGACGGCTGAAGTCGATCTGTAGGTGCTTTAAATAAGGCAGACGAAGGAAGCTCCACGTTTGGGAGGAGAGATGTGTGTTTGGGATCTGAAGTTTCGAAACCGATGAGTAATGAAGTTCGCTCCCGTTTATTTGTCGAGGAACCTCATCAGCAGGATCCTCAATGTCATAATTCAATTTGAAATATTCG